TATGAGATGAGGTATTATGTACATTATTTACATTATTCTGACTATTGTCCTCATCTTTGTCGCCATATTTATTACAACGTTTCGGCCTTTCAGTATCTGTCTATATTTCTGAGATGAGGTATTATGTACACTATTTACATTATTCGGACTATTGTCCTCATCTTTGTCGCCATATTTATTACAACGTTTCGGCCTTTCAGTATCTATCTATATTTCTGAGATGAGGTATTATGTACACTATTTACATTATTTTGTACTATTGTCCTCATCTTTGTCGCCATATTTATTACAACGTTTCGGCCTTTCAGTATCTGTCTATATTTCTGAGATGAGGTATTATGTACACTATTTACATTATTCGGACTATTGTCCTCATCTTTGTCGCCATATTTATTACAACGTTTCGGCCTTTCAGTATCTATCTATATTTCTGAGATGAGGTATTATGTACACTATTTACATTATTTGGACTATTGTCCTCATCTTTGTCGCCATATTTATTTCGGCCTTTCAGTATCTGTCTATATTTCTGAGATGAGGTATTATGTACACTATTTACATTATTCGGACTATTGTCCTCATCTTTGTCGCCATAATTATTACAACGTTTCGGCCTTTCAGTATCTATCTATATTTCTGAGATGAGGTATTATGTACACTATTTACATTATTCGGACTATTGTCCTCATCTTTGTCGCCATATTTATTACAACGTTTCGGCCTTTCAGTATCTATCTATATTTCTGAGATGAGGTATTATGTACACTATTTACATTATTCGGACTATTGTTCTCATCTTTGTCGCCATATTTATTACAACGTTTCGGCCTTTCAGTATCTGTCTATATTTCTGAGATGAGGTATTATGTACACTATTTACATTATTCGGACTATTGTCCTCATCTTTGTCGCCATATTTATTACAACGTTTCGGCCTTTCAGTATCTGTCTATATTTCTGAGATGAGGTATTATGTACACTATTTACATTATTCGGACTATTGTTCTCATCTTTGTCGCCATATTTATTACAACGTTTCGGCCAATCAGTATCTGACTATATTTCTGAGATGAGGTATTATGTACACTATTTACATTATTCGGACTATTGTTCTCATCTTTGTCGCCATATTTATTACAACGTTTCGGCCAATCAGTATCTATCTATATTTCTGAGATGAGGTATTATGTACACTATTTACATTATTCGGACTATTGTTCTCATCTTTGTCGCCATATTTATTACAACGTTTCGAGTCCTTTCAGTATCTGTCTATATTTCTGAGATGAGGTATTATGTACACTATTTACATTATTCGGACTATTGTCCTCATCTTTGTCGCCATATTTATTACAACGTTTCGGCCCTTCAGTATCTGACTATATTTCTGAGATGAGGTATTATGTACACTATTTACATTATTCGGACTATTGTCCTCAACTTTGTCGCCATATTTATTACAACGTTTCGGCCCTTCAGTATCTGTCTATATTTCTGAGATGAGGTATTATGTACACTATTTACATTATTCGGACTATTGTCCTCATCTTTGTCGCCATATATATTACAACGTTTCGGCCCTTCAGTATCTGCCTATATTTCTGAGATGAGGTATTATGTACACTATTTACATTATTCGGACTATTGTCCTCATCTTTGTGGCCATATTTATTACAACGTTTCGGCCCTTCAGTATCTGTCTGTATTTCTGAGATGAGGTATTATGTACATTATTTACATTACTCAGACTATTGTCCTCATCTTTGTCGCCATATTTATTACAACGTTTCAGCCCTTCAGTATCTGACTATATTTCTGAGATGAGGTATTATGTACATTATTTACATTATTCAGACTATTGTCCTCATCTTTGTCGCCATATTTATTACAACGTTTCGGCCCTTCAGTATCTGGCTATATTTCTGAGATGAGTTATTATGTACATTATTTACATTATTCAGACTATTGTCCTCATCTTTGTCGCCATATTTATTACAACGTTTCGGCCCTTCAGTATCTGGCTATATTTCTGAGATGAGGTATTATGTACATTATTTACATTATTCAGACTATTGTCCTCATCTTTGTCTATTTATTTTATAACGTTTGTTCAGTTTCTTGTATTTATTTTTTTTTGGATTTACATTATTTACATTATTCAGACTATTGTCCTCATCTTTGTCGCCATATTTATTTCAATGTTTCGGCCCTTCAGTATCTGTCTATATTTCTGAGATGAGGTGTTATGTACACTATTTACATTATTCGGACTATTGTCCTCATCTTTGTCGCCATATTTATTACAACGTTTCGGCCCTTCAGTATCTGACTATATTTCTGAGATGAGGTTTTATGTACACTATTTACATTGTTCAGTCTATTGTCCTCATCTTTGTCGCCATATTTATTACAACGTTTTGGCCGTTGTACCCTCCGGCCTTCTTCAGGTGGTTGGAATGTCAAACTTAACCCTTTGTTTCACTCACTGGAGTAGACTGTTCTCGTTCCACGTGCCATGTTTAATGGATGTCAGTTTTCAGTTATCTCCTGTTAATTTCCCTCTGAATGTTCTCCACTGCCTTAACTGGGTATTGAACTCACAATCTTTGGGTGATGTCACTGGATCTAACTAATGCCTTTATTCACTATGCCATGTGTCCTTGATTCTTTGTGTTTTTTGTTGTGCTTCTTACTGAGAAGTTCACAGGCAACAGTAAACAACTCATAAAAATAAAATCAACGCGCTCTTGTTTCTCGTCAGTTGACGTACAACCTCCTAACTAATTGACATAATCTAAGCGCAGATCAGTTTTTGTTTTGAGGAATTCCCTCACCTTATCTTTGGATTTGTCAACGTGATTGCATAAACCAGCTTTCTCAACCCATTTCTTGTAGTCTGCAACATTTTCAAATACCATGTTGTTCCATTTATGTAAAGATTGGGTGATATTTATGCAATGCTGGTCAGAATCAGAAAATGGTTGTTCAGTGACACCAGCTCTGCTTCCAAAGTCTCCTGGTTTAATACGGATGTTCCTGTCGACATCGAGAATTTCATTCAATATATTCGGCGTATCTGAAACTGACCTGTCGATTTTGAAACCATCTCGTATTCTCTTTGGGTCGGTCTAATCTTTGACCTTGGACTTACACGGTATGCAATCCGTACCTCCTAAGCCAGAAATCAATTTCTTGATCTTAAGTTATTTCATAGAGTCTTAGATTACACATGACATACTTAAATCGTTATCACCAATATTAATTGATATACCATTTGTATTTAAATCATTCCGATCACGACCAGTTTTTTTGACAATGAAGTTGTGAAGGTCAAGATAACTTTTTGCTTTTCTAATCAAATACACAGGTCTCAATGATCGTGCCAAATTGGTTACTTTGTTCTGTCATAAAGCCATAAAACCTCTTCTTTGTCACTAATATTCCGTGTAAGTTTCAGAGGAATGATACCATACTGAAATATGTGGTCTTCATCATCGTCATCACCATCCTAAACTCTCTTCTTTGTCGATTTAGGCGCTGGCATTGTACAAACACCGTCACAATCTTGCAAGTCCATTGTCAAACCGTTGAGTGACTGATCTGGAGAATTTTCCCTGATTATCTTAACCACTGATGTTATTGTTTTTTTTACAAGGTTGTTGTAGTCAATGCCGTTTCCTTTGCCATCCAAAATAGAATATGTTTGAGGTCTCAAGGACTTCCTGATGGGAAGGAGTGCACTAATTCTTGGAAACCCAATGCCTTATGACCGAGAAAATAACGAACCTGTCTCATCTCGAACTAATGGCGAGAAGGAAACTAAGAGGACACTTTATTTCCTTTCTTTCTCTCTGTACTTCAAGTGGCCTTTCTATCACCAGCAAAACTGAAAATGGAGCAATTTTAGTGTTTTGGGGCTGTAAAGTTCAAATATAGAAATCCGGTCCCAGACCCCTCCCCAAATATGATTTTTCATATAAAAAATTCAGTTTTGTTGATTTCAGTGATATCGTGTTGCCCATACCTTTATAAAAAGCCTTGGATGGTCTTCCTATCTTCAACCAAACCGAAATTAGAGCAATTTTTGCGTCTTGGTACCGCTATGCCCAAATATGGATATCTGGTTCCAGACCTACACAAAATATGAAAAAGAAATCGACTTTCTTTCACCGAATTCGTGTTACCCATATGCTTCCGACAAGCTCTCATACAACATCTGTTAGACATTTTCATGACGGTCGTCCTCGAGTATCGAATCCAGAGGTTGGCAGTGAATATTTCGGAGACAGTAGGAAAGCGTAGTGGAGGTTCGCAGTGGATATCACAGCAGAGTGTAGTTCATCCTTCTCCTGGTCGCCTTTGGTCCTTCCGGTAGGAGGAAACAAGATGGCCGCCTTTATACACTATGAATACAGTGTTGGGCGGCTTCTGATTGGTCAACCTTCTATTGGTCGACTATAAAGGGAAATAAGTCATTCTGACTCGCTCACTAGTTATGTGCCATATACCCAAAAAACCGTAACAACATCATACCATGAACAATTTTTAAATTATTCCCAGATTCCCAAATATCGCCATTCTGGGCCCAAAGTCTACCGTCAGGCTTTCTTCAGATGCATGTCAGTAAATCCTGTTTTAATGATGTTTATAATAATAAACAGATCAGAAATTCACTTAATACTTGTAAGGTAATAAAGTAAATATTTACGATTTTAATGTTACATGATGCTTATAAAATCTATGTTGCACCTAAATTTATAGAAGTTCTAAATTAATAAAAAGTTAGTAACGTTAATGATTGGGGTGCCATCAAAAGTTTCAGTTAAAAGGTTTTTATGTGCTTCTTCTCAGATACGCATTTTTTCTGAAAAAAAAAAGGAAAAGAAAAAAAATCGGTAAAGTGATTAGGACTTTCGACAAGGGAAATAAATGAGACCAGTGACACTGAAAAAGTTACAGGTTTTGAATATTCACATATAGTAAATATGTAAATTAAAAAGATCTATCTATCTATCTATCTATCTATCTATGTTCCTATCTGTCTTTGTAACTATTTCAGCCTGTTCCTATCTCTCTCTCTCTCTCTCTCTATCTATCTATCTATCTATGTTCCTATCTGTCTTTGTATCTATCTCAGTCTGTCCCTCTCTCGCTCTCTACTCTCACTCTCATATATATATATATATATATATATATATATATATATATATATATATATATATATATATATACACACATATATATATATATATCTAGCTACCTCAATATGTTCATATCTATCTATCTATCTATCTATCTATCTATCTATCTATCTATGTTCCTATCTGTCTTTGTATCCTCTCAGCCTATTCCTATCTCTCTCTCTCTCTCTCTCTATATATATATATCTATCTAGCTACCTCAATCTGTTCATTATCTATCTATCTATCTATCTATCTATCTATCTATCTCAGTCCATCCATTATCTATGTATTTTCTCAAAACATTATATCATTTTTGGTCTTGTACTTTTTTGGCTTTTGCAAATTGACAGGAAAATGAAAGTAGAACTATTTTCGGAATTGCTTGGAATCAACAACTCTGACCAATTCAACATTCCTGGCACCTCGGGAAATTGTCAGATTTTTTTAACCAATACAGATTCATGTCACTATCTTATTGTAAAAATAAATGATTCTGTTAATCTGCACAAAAAAAACCCTCACATTTTTACCTTGTCTCAAACCTTCTGCTAGTGTTTAATCTATCCTTTAATAACCCTAACCCTAACTCTATCCTCTAATAGGCTTAATCATTTCAACTAACAGACAGGTCCATTTCTTTCTATATTTATCTCTGTTCAGTCGAATCTCTTCATATGTGTCTATCTGAATTAGTCCGCAATCAATTCATGAAAAGCCATGATTGAGGGAAACTAATAAACGGCCAATCATACTGAACATCCTAATGATCTTGATGATAACAAAATCTATTGAATTTCTTTAAAGAATAAAATACTTGAAAATATATTAAGCGAAACGTTTCTAATAAGGAAGAGCCTGTATTTTGCAGTACAGACGAAATTCTCATTTTCAAAGGTCGTTGATGACAAAATAAATTATGAAAAGTTAAATTTGAATGACAAAATCAATTTCGGAGGTACGTAGACTCTTTGAAAACAATGTTTTGATATTTCTTTGCTTTGAATCAGACAGGAAAGTCATTTTACTTTCAAAACAAATCGTGTTTCATTTCAGAATATGATGCGGAACACATTCTGACCGTTATAAAGTTCGCCTTCTCATGGTGATGATTCAAAATTGTTTATTTAATTATTATAGCCTAAAATATTAAAATTAATTATTAATAATTTATAACATTCATATTCTTAAGTTCGAAAGGCAAACAATTAAACAAATAAATGAAAAATTATAGAAAATTATGTAAATTTGAATTTGAATTCAAAAGTAAACAAGGTGTCAAGGGGAATAACTCTCTTTTTATATGAAATACCATAGTTATACAAATTAACTTGAACTACTAATTAGGGTTAAATATAATATAAGCATGAAAATATAAAAAAATAATAATTGGGGACTATATATCTAATGTGTTTGATACCAAGCTTTATTCTAATAAAGGTGAAATTATATATACACACGTTATAAATAAATCGAGTACAGTAATATTACATTGTATATGTGTATAGATATATAGGAAATGTTATTAATGCTGGGTTTAAGAATATTAAAAATTGTTGCATTTTATATTATTATTAGTAAAATCTATTTTGTAATATTCTTTAATCGCGGGCATGGTGATTTAGCATGTGCTTGGAATTATGGATACATGTAGACTTCAATTCAGATCTCGTGTTCAGCAAGTTCGTGTTATTGAAGTGTTTTAATATAATAAGCTTATCCAACAAACACAAGTTGCATCTGTTTCCTTTTCCATTTTAGGCTTAGCTTTCGTGATTATCTCCCAGCTAATAGCTGGCTTCTTATGGTTGTTTTTTTTTTTTAACTGCGAAACATACTTTGAAATTGCTGTGGACTTTTTGTATATGTTATTGCTCAGTGTCATTAATAAAATTTCTTATATATCTATACGCACATATAATGCAATATTACGGTACTCGATTTATTTATAACATATGTATATATACTTTCATCTTTATAAATATAAAGCTAGGTCTCAAACAATTTAGATATATACCCACCTCTTATTATTTTTATAGTTACACCCTTATATTATATTTACATCCTGAGTACTAATTTAACTCATATAATTATGGTATTTTATGTAAAAAAGAGTTATCCCCCTTATCTGGTTTACTTTTGAATTCAAATTTAAATTTATATAATTTTCTAAAATTTTTATCTTTTTTTTAATTCTTAGCCTTTCGAACTTAAGAATTTGAATGATATAAATTATTATTAAATTAATTCTAATATTACTACGATAATTAAATAAGCAATTTTAACAGATAATTTTGAATCATCACCACGAGAACGCGAACTCTATAACGGTCAGATTAAGTTCAGCACCTTTAGATTGCAAGAACTGCATGAAATTTCGAGTGGTGCCATCGATCTATATGTACATTCACTAATATATACTTATAGTTCTGTTTCACAACATTGAGCACTGTATTTATAACAACTGAGGAAGAAAAATATTTATATGTACGTGCAAATATTTGCGCGTATATGTATATGTTTATCATACATACATATATATATATATATATATATATATATATATATATATATATATATATATATATAGACATATTTCATTGAGTAATTTTGACATGTTCTGTCTACTTATTTTCAATAGGATCCTTTCATATTAACAAGCTTTTTGGTGTCATTATTGAAGGACAAGAGAAAATCGCCGCCTTGGTACATATTCCTTTTATTTCCGAGTACTTTCGACATAGCACAATGTCATCATCACTGTATTCTTTATTACAAGACAAATATTGTAGTGTTCATTATTCAACGAAGCAGGTCTCAACGAAAACACTGTTTCAAAATATACGCATATATATATATATATATATATATATATATATATATATATATATATGTAATGAATTTCAATTTAAGGTTTACAGGAAAGCTACCAACAAGATCGATCTGGTTAGTTTTCACTCCCAACATTGTAACAAGATCAAATCGGCAATAATTATAGGATTCTATTTAAGAGTACTAAGTATTTTCAGATCCAAATAAAGAAATATACATAGAAAACATGTTAGAAACCTCCAATATCCTTATTAAAAAAATATAAGAAAATTCTTAACAAAAGTAAACTAAATAAAAACAGACACATAATAGTAATTACAAACTCCATAAGATCCACTATCCAAAAAAAAATTATGAAAACTAAACAATATCAAAATAATTACATCACACCCCAAATTATTATGGATAAAATCAGAACCCAAAATATGCATAGCAATAATAATTCTGAAGTAGGTATATATATAAAATAAATTGCCAGAACTGTTCTTCATAATACAGGGGGAAACTTGTAGAAATTTAAAAAAAAAGTGTTTATGAACGAAAAAAAAAATTGTATTCATAGAAATATATTCAGTCACAACTTTCATCTTAAGAACGACCCACTTTTCAAACGAGAAAGTAAGTTACTTTGAAGAAAAATTCTCGAGAGTGCCACTATCGACTTATCAAAATATAAATCTACGCCCCAAATGTTTCCAATGTCTCCATTTCTGAAAGAATTAGTATTTTCCTAAGCCAAGATACATTACAATAAAAATGTTAAAAATTATAAGAGAACAGTTAAAAACATGCCTTAATCAAAATAGATAACACGTGAATTAATCCCAAATTAAATTAATTTAAATAGTAACTTGTACAAAAGAACTTCTAAATATCACTCACTTTTGTTTATTAGACATTAATTTGTATCACTTCGTGACCCCCATAGCTTGCCTGACGATGTTGAATTGACCACATAGTCTTTCTACACCATTTCCATACAGCCGGGTAGCTGGCGGGCTAAATGAATATTAAACTCGAGCCTTAGGTCACCGTCCCCTCTATGCATCACCTCTTCTACGCGGGTGATCATGGGTTATTAACCGACGCCTGAGGCGACCCCAACAGGAGAAGTTATGAGGGCACCAAATGTCATTTTAAACTCGAACTTTTCTTCCATTTTGTACGACTTGGCGTACAAATAAATGCTATTTACATACATGAAAGTCTTGTACGTAATAAGCTGTCGTCTTTCTTGATCATTCTGTTTGCTTCACAGAAGGGCAACGGTTGGAAAATGCAATTTAGAAAATCATTATTATTCCCACAGAGAACTGTATTTTTAATATTTGGCGCAAACACGGAACTGTAGCAAGGAATAGAAATGACTTTAATGGGCAGCACATGTAACCCGACGAGAAGATAAAGACATAAACATGATGTTGATGTTCCACACTAAATCAAACAAAAGGCTAGGAAGGAAACGTCAGTCAATATTAGAAAACAATTATTGATCTTGTGAAACCACGACTTAACTCCAAGTAAGGCAGTAAAGCCACTAAGACACAATCGGTTACTGGGTGTGAAAAAAATTACAAAACAGAAACATTATTAAGGAGCGTATAAATAGAAGAGTAATCAGGAAGGCAGTATATAACGATTGACACTGCATTTAAATTTTTGAAGATCAAAGTTGGCTGAAAAGCATAGAGTTGGGATAATCTTCCACAAGCGATAAGTGGGCGAGTACAATAGAAGAGTAATCAGGAAGACAGTAGATAACGATTGACATTGCATTTAAATTTTTGAAGATCAAAGTTATCTGGAAAGAATGGAGCCGGAAGCGAGAAGTGCGAGAGAACGAACTGTTACTTATGATAACATCTAACCGATTTCAACTGTGAATTGATGAGACCTAGCCGCCAATCTAGTACTGAGCTTTAATTCATAAGGTACCAGAGCGAAGAGCTCATCCGAACAATTACCATGAAAATATTTATAGAAATGGCACATATAAGCAAATTTACGGCGTTGGGAAAGTGACTGAAGTCGTGATGCTCGGTCAAGATCAGTAATATTGGTGATTCTTGATTGAAGTTTTATCATGAATCTCTAAATATAGAGCAGGGTATCAGACCATATGTGGCAGTAATATTCGAAGCATGGACGAACGGTAGAATTACAAAATAGATTCTGGAGAGAAAAAATTATCTTGCACGATACAGTGAACTAAATTTCTTACCAGCAAAGCTGGTAATGTATTCAATATAGTCTTTTTCAGTTCATGTCAACCGAGAATGTTAACCCAAGAAAGGGCAATGAATCGCTCTTCTGGAGGTTAGCATTAGCCACGCTGATTGAAGTCAGACTGAATAATTATTTTCGTATAAAGTTGTTTTTTTTTAACATAACCATTACTATCTGTATAGTCCTGTATCACACAGTGCTACGGTTAATAAATAAACAAGGTCTGTATAT